GCTTCGTGCTGGTTAGTAGTGTTGGCGCCGATCAGTTGACAAAACCGGACTTGGGTTATCAATTTTGAGGAAGAACACCGACAAAAATTGAACAAATTCTAACCTAACCAGCTGTCTTGAAACTAATGTTGAAACCTGCAAGTAAAGTATGGTTTTAAGATAAATATCAATATTTATGTTTAATGAATGGATTATGCTATGCCATATGTTTTACTATTAATGAATTAAGGGCCAAAATGGTAAAATTATGTATAAGCCCTTCTCCAATTACTATTCAAACACACGCGAATGTAAGATTTTTTTTAAAATGCAATGTATATTTCTCTTTCGTCTCCTTCATATTTTATATAAACTACTTTATGAAAACATTATGTGAATTGTTTTATTTATTTTACCTGTTTATCCTAATAAATATCGCTCAAATTATAGTTGTACGTGTGCTTATTTAATTTTAGGAGAATTTCAATGCATTGTTCATTTGTGTAAATGACGAGAGCTAAATGTATAACGATGTCAATTTTATTAACTATTACATATGTTCCTCTACCTGTTAATCCGTTAAATATTTGTAGCGAATGAGTTGATTGACATCGATTCAAATAATTAAATAATCTGATTGATAAAATTAAAATATCAACGATCAGATTAAATTTTCTCGTAATAAAATGATCACTAATATATTTAACCTTAATTTTAACTATCCGAACAATAATCGTTTAGTTTACATACAAGAAACCTTTTTACATAGTTTACTGGTAATTTTTAAAATTTCTTTGTTTCATGGCAGCGGTGTTCGTCTTCTCCGGCCACCCCCTGTCATTTTTTATTATTTTTTATCGTATTTTCATTAATAATTTCTTTTAGCCCTTTTTATAGTAAAGGGTATCATGACTACCGGTGTTTTAGACTCTCGGTGCAACTTTTTTATTGGTCTTCTTCTTGGTCTTTTTCACTGAATACATGATTGGTTGCTTTCCTAATGCTCGATTCCTCTGTTCGTTTGTACAAGATGATTTGTTGGTTATTGCATATATGTGTCAGATGAGATTGATGTTAAGGGGAGATCGCTTTTTTCATTAGTCATTTTGGTTATTCTTCAAGTTTCTCTTCATGTTTTGACGCTCGAAGCCGTTGGTGTGTTCAGTTTATGTACATCGTTGCTCTACTTGTTAATAATTTTGTTTATCAGGCTATCACTAAGCTATCAATGTTATATTTTATTTTCGATAGTCTTGATTGTATTTATTTAATATGTACATGACAAGACGTTTATTGATACTGGTTTTGATAAATGAAATATTCTGGTTACTTACAAAAAAATCTTTTTACATGGGGGTAAGGGACCTCGGACACGAGAACCTGTTTTTCTCAACTTTTTGCCACTCGATCTAGACAAACACATCATCCCCACCAGATTCATGATAATGAAAGGGACCATTATGTCCCCCAAGGCAGCCCCATAACCCTTCACATTCAACCTTAGCCAACCACTACTGTTTCACGGGGTCCTATTTCTTACACAAGCACTTCCCTCAAGTCCCCAAACATCTAACGGTTCTAACAAAACATGGTTTGGAACTGCAAGAGTGTGAGAAGCAAGAAAGAAAAGCACAGATCTTTTCCATTCAAATCAAAAAGTATATTACAGAAGATTGAAACTTTGCGAATTCCCGAAGCAGCGGTTCCCATGCCCATCCAAGTAAACAACAGAAGTGGGGTAAAAAAGATTTGCATTTGCTAACGTCATCTACTGTTGACTATTCTTTAGAGCTTCAAACTTAAGTTCGAGGTCATAGAGGTGTGAATCAGCGACGATGATGGAAGACATCGCCTCTGTCTGTTACTTATTGCAGGGCCCAAAGGACAAGATGTCCAAGAACGAGGTCTCCTACTCGATTGGCTTCTCAACTTCTTCTTCTCTACCTGTTGAACCTTACCTCCGATCTAACTTGGCGAATCTTAGTCTCGTTCAACTCTACCGGGAGAACACAGTTGCAGAGCAAACCTATACATTCATAACAAATATCATCACTCAATAGTCTACACAGAGAGAACCTTCAAATTTACTTCACCACAAGAACCTGTGTGACGAACAACTCCGTAAACATTTCAATATCGGGTGAGTATTAAAATCATAACAATGCAAGACAACAAGCTGACTATGGTAGTTGTGGAAAGAATAAACAACGGAATTATTGGCTCATACGGGCAGTATAGACCATTCATGAATGGTGCTCGTTCCACAAAGCTTGCACTACATCGGTGGGTGTGGTGGGTGGAAGCTGCTACCACTTCTTCCTTATCTTGAATTTTTCTAAAGCAAAACTTTCCTGTTCTTTGATTTAACTTTAAAATCAGAAAACATGCTGACGAGAGCAATAACGATACGCAACAGAACTTTCAGTTGAATATGCATGGGTATATACCAATCTTCCCGAGAAACAATCAGATGATCCATGAAGTAGATATAAAAAGGGTGAGAAGTTGATTTCTTACCGAGTCTAGCAAGTCGATTAACCCAGCGAGGAATCGGTTTCCCTGTCAATTGGATACACACATCGTTGCAAAAATGATTGCAGTTCTTAGTGATGAGATGGTAAGTGTTCCCGGAGTAGTCTCTAGCAAGTTTCTCCATGAACGAACGGACGTCTTTCGGACCTAAATCCGTCCTTCCAACTAAAATGGATTTCCTAAATGAGAAACCGGGACACTGCTTTGGTTCCACTTCGAAAATCCCAGTAGCTGAATGATCATGCGCTCCAAAACCATATTCAACTCCATGAACTGCACACCAAGATTCAACTCAGTCGAAATCTACTTCTACAGAAATACGTTTGTGTGTGTGCACCAGCTTCATGGATGTATATGCTAATATTTGTGGAAGTTCTTTTGCATATACAAGTTTCAAATTCTTCCCTTCAATTTTCAATCTCGTTGGTTATTACACTAATAATCGAACTAATAAGGATACATGGAAAAATTAATTGGAAAATTTTCTCATCAAACAAACAGACTACCCAGATAATGGAAACAAAACTCAAGGCGTGAAAAAAAAACAGCAGTAGCACGAATTACATAGAAAATACTGCAACAACCCACTGTTTCTTTCTTTTCATTTTCCATTACTTTTTTCCAGCAACACCCAAAAGGAAGAAAGAAAACTAACCTTGAACCCCAGAATGATAGATCCCAAGGCCAAGCCAGTAAGCATAACCATTAATCGGAGTCAAATCGTATACATTCAAGTAAACCGGAACTGATCCAACTTTCTTCTTCCGGGGCATCAACACCATTGTACACATAATTTTAAGGCCCTGTTTCTTCACACTTTTTTCTTCTTCTGAGAATTGCCCAGATCGGTATACAAGGGGAGAGATGAAGGAAAATTGAGCTTCTATGGGATGGATATTGTAAAAAGGAGAGAAAATCGAATGCGTAACCGCGGAATTTCGGATATATTTTAGTTGCTTCGATTGAAAAGAAATTAATAAAACAAGGAAAAGAAGAATCTTCAACTTGGGTTTTACCGAACGAGTGCCGACAGCAAGTAATAGCGTACCATTTAGCTTGGTTTCAACTCGAGTCAAAATAATCTGATTGATAAAATTAAAATGATTAAATTTTTCTCGTAATAAGATGACCACTAATATAATTTAACCTTAATTTTATATATTCGAACAATAATCATTTAAATAATTCATCGATTGTATAATGAGATTAATTTTGAGTTATGTTATCGGTCTTCTCATAAAAATGTTTTTCATTGTTTGAATTTTCAAACAAACATTCTAAACCGTTTAGATCTAAAAAAAATGTCCATAAATCCCAAATTTATGATTTTTTTTTTGTTTAATTTATGAATTGCTAGAAAAGAATAAATGCTTTAAACTGAATGGTGGAATTGGCTATTTAATATTTGAAATGACAAAAAAAAATCCCCTAAAACAATAATATAAGAGAAAACCCCAGAGGTGGTGGAGGATAAAATGGTATCAACAAAAGAAAAAAAAACATGTCACCGCATATCACCATAAAATTAAATAAAAAGTTAAACACGTATTGATATTAAAATATCACTTAATCTACTTTAAAAAAAATATCACTTAATATCTAATAATTTAAAGTTATTCTTTTACAATTTGATGTTCACATGTCTTAACATTATATAACTAACGGTATAAAAAATTAAAAAAATATATTAAAAGGTCCAGGGTTTTGGTAATTTATTCTCAACTACCATTGTGCTTTTTATTTTTGTTTGTTTTGCTTCATATTAAAAATCCCCATTGTTGGAGTTTTACTTCTTTTCCAATTAATTCTAAAGAACACGATGATGTCTCATGGTATGGGCAACTCAATTTAAAAACATTAAAATTTTATGACTTTAAATTATTTTTAAAAAAAATACGCTATTATAATAATGGAATAGAAATTATAAAACTTCTCATAAAATAAAAAATTAACGCATTATAAAATCTTAGACTTATTAATAATGTTTTTTTACTGATATTATACAAAATAATTGTAGCCCCGAGTTGGGTTTGGTTTCTGTGTATTATTATTTAGCTGATGATCGAGCCTAGGCAATGAACAGGCCATGCTCTTTCTGGCATTTTGCTTTATCTGTGTCGTGGTTGACAAAAATATTCCTTCCGGCTCTGCTAAACCTCTGGATTTATTAGCCAATGCCATGAATTTTCTGTCCACGCACAAAATATCCACATGCTATACGCCACAATTCCTACAATAAATGGTTAAAATCTCTCGATTATTTGTCCCCTAGGTTGAGGGTTCGATACCCCTTACGATCAAAATTCCCTTGTTCAAAAGGAAAAAGAAACTTATATGCACTTAACATTGACAAGCATGCAAAATTTAGTAAGAAGTTCTGGTCAAATAAAATCTTATTGGACCAAATTATTTATTCGAGAATTAGTGAATGAAATGCCAGACATGTCTCCATAACTTTAATTGAGCTAAGGAAGTGGTGGAGATATAGCCTAATCCTTGTGTAAGGCGTCATCAAGTTCAACGTCCAAGCCTACTCGATTCCGGATGGAAGTGGAGGCATCGAAAGGCGTTCTGCACTTGTTTTGCAACTCTTTAAACCTGGCGACGTCAAACCCATGCTTCTGGAATATTTTTCTTTGCCTCCGCAGGAAAAGCCTCTTCAACAGATCCTGGTACGAGGGATCTCTTGCAGTAAGCAAAAAGTAAGCATAGCCTATGATGATGCCGGTGGCCGTGGTGAAGAACGTAATCGGTTCCATTACATCCCATGAGAATTCCCAGAATGTTAGCCGAAAGTACAGGCTCACTTGTGCAACGAATAATCCCAGACCACACCAAAGGATGCACCGGACTTGCTTATGTGCCAGCACGTCGATTTCTTCCTTCTTCTCCTGCAACTTCTTTAGCTCGTCCCTTATGGGGTCGTCTTCAGGAGCAAAAGCAAGAGGGACTGCTTTTCTAATATGATCCACCACCTGTGTAAGAGTAGATGCGTTAGATTATCAACACTAAAGAGTGAAGGGTTAGAAGAGGGATGTGTACCTTGTCCGGATGAAGATAAACCTTGTCGCGGAAAAGAAGCACCACGCCTGCCTCGTCGAGAACGCGTGCAAAACTGATGGCCTCGTCGAGATTTCTGGTAACGCCCATACTCTCGCAGGCCTTCAGTAACTCCGGGTAGCGGATCACCTCTTTGCCTTCCGTCTCTAGCTTGGTCTTTAGTGATTCCACATTCACCAGCTTCATCAGCTTCTTCGCCTCCGCCAGCGTTACGCTGCCCGTCCCTGCTCTCGTCTTTTTCAAATCGGAGGTTGCATCGACATCAGAAGATGGAGAAGATGACCAAGCTTTTGTTCTGTGGAAGACTGGATTGGTTCGTAATGTCACTCCCTCTAACAACAGTCGGTTTTGAGGTGACTGCGGAAGCTTCCTCCCGTCGGCCGCAGACACACCCTGCTTCAAAGCCCCGCACCAACATAACCTCCTCCACATGCTTCGATATATCTCACTCTATACAGAGAATGTAGTTTCTACGTATTTTTTAAAAATGTGTTCACGTATGTGTTGGTATTTGAGTATACGATGAAGTGAAACTCTTCACTTGCTGGTTGTAAACTCGTAATATTAACAAACGGATCTTCCAATAAGAAAAACAAACAAAGAAAAAAGAGGAAAGACCGAGTTTTTTTGATGGGGCGGTAGGAAAGCTAGGCTCGATATGCGGATATGGAACGGAGCATGGACCGATAAAGGCAAACATGCCGCTTCATTCCAATTTTTATAATCTCGTATTAATCTAGTATCCAGGTCTAATCTATAATTAAAAGATAGTTCATTTCTAAAGTTTTATATTTCTAGATATATCAACCCATCTATTAATTATACAATGTTATACCTTATTATCCGTGATAATAGATTGTCTATTTACATGAAAACGAAATTTCATCTTTTCTAATTGGAGAATAACCCCAAGACTTTCCCCCCAGTGCAGGTTGATTTTAATAAAATTTTGCAGTTCAATTTCCTACTTTATATGATTGAACCTGCAAGTTTGAGTTTTGGAACAAAACTTTTTAAGTCAAATGGTATCTCTTGCTTTGGGAAGGCATGGAACCCTCCATTGTTAACAATGTTAATGAATTTTGTTAATTTGCGTCTGCACTTCTTAATTGATTTCTTATGGCATCTGCAAAGAAGTGTACTTGACTTTACAATTCGAGGGTTACAAGACGCTGCTAGAAATGTCACTAGACTGGTGAAACCAAGTATAAATAGAATTATAATGCATGCAGTGCTGATGGATATAACAACAAAGGAACAGTCTTATAAGAATTGGAACAAAGCTGTTGAGTTAAGAAGACTATAGGGTCAATCTGTCGGCCAGAACGTTCAAAGAAACTATAGGATGAGCAATACAGAATGTCTCTGAGGAAAGAAAGCATAGATTTGCTTCATAAATTTCGACTCGGACAAACTTGTTTGCAGATACCAGAAAATATCAATAAGATAATGCAAGCAAAAGCTAACAAAATTCATTAACACCATCCTAAGCATTTCAATGGAGGATGCCATGCCTTCCCAAAACAAGAAATACTATTTAACTTTAAAGTTATGTTTCAAGAACTCAAAACATACAGGCAGTTCTACCATATTAAGCACGAAAACCAACTACAAAATATTTCAATGTACTAGTCCATCTAGCACAAAAAACACATTTCTGTGATTCAAAATATTCCAAAACATTAACTTGCTGCACATTCTAAATACGAACAATATTAAGGCTTGCTGAGATGATGATGGACCCCTTCCCTCTCTGCTGCCATCGGATTTGAACCATTTGGGAGTTCGGCCTCTATGCCTGCTTCATGAAGTTGTTGACTTTCTAGCCCTAATCCCGGAGTACTTCCAGGAGACAGAGCTTGATTCTTGACCCGTTTCTCGCTATCGTCGTCACTCATTTTAGGAGACCTCAGAAAGACACCAGTGGGAGTTTCTTCAGGTACAGTTTCTGCATCAATATTAAACCTATTCCCAACCATTCGGTTGAGATTGCGGGAGGAGGCGGCGGTCGAGCTGCACTTGGGAGGAGTCTCGAGGATTTCATCGTCTTCAGATGAGTCGGGAGGAGACAGCTTTGTGGTGCTAATTGATTCGGCGGAGGTGTCGGAATCTGACACACCGAAAAAAGGGGCGTTATTCATGGCGGCCTCTGTAGATGGTGACAATCGACATTCTTCCACTATCCAATGAAAAGGATCAACAGGTTCCATCTGCGTCTTCGAAACGATGAGGCAGAGCCTTCTCACTTTTTTCAGTTCTCTACGGACTGATTTATTTCTCCACAAACCAAACTATATATAGCGGGGAGAATCCCTTTTGCTTTTATTTTAATGAATTATAAATCGAGATCTCCCGCTTTCATTGAAATTTCAAAGGAAGTTCCCGCTTTTATTTTATTTTATTTTAATGAATTATAATTTTTGCCATATGATAAAAAATATAAATTTTAATTATCCAGTAAAATGATTTTGTCAATGCTTTAACCTTTTTGTTTTATCTCCTCAATCCCAAAGTAACCATATATTTTTTTCTATATTCTAACCTTTTACACCTTTAACTCATTTTCACAAAACGTAAATTTTACATTATTCTGGGGTGTGGAATCCTATTAGTATGGATAGATTTTGTAGTGTTTTTGTGGGGTTGACATAAATATGGTGTGTTCTTTTTTCTTTTATTAGGTTTAGATATATTTTTTAATAATAACATTAATATGATATATTATTTTTTTCTTCGATTATGTATAGAGAGATTTTATAACGAGACCCCTAATATTTCTTTTCTCATTTTATTTTGGGGAGTGGAATCCTAGTAGTATGGATATATTTTGTTGTGTTTTTGTGATGTTGACAGTTTATAAGGTGTACTATTTTTTCTTCGATTAATTTAGGGATGGTTTTTTAACAATACTCCTATCACTTGTCTTGTTTTGTATTCTCATTCTTATGATCGTATATAAAAAAATAATTCGTTTCGGAAAAAATTACATTAATAAAACTGCAAATTATCCTCCCACATAATATACAACTTCTGCACCCAAAAATTATAAGCTACGAAATTTTAAACTCTAAAGGGCCTATTTATAGGATTTGTCTATCATAAGAGTAATTTTCAATTGAGTGAAGCGATAATACATTTCAAGAGTAATTTTCAGTAATCGTTATTTAGAATCTCAATTAAAAATTTAAATTAATATCTAATAATCTCTGAAATACTCGTCTTCAATCGTTTCAATCTGCATCGAAAATCTGAATTCCCATTGAAATCTTCAACCATTTCTCCGAATTCCCATTAAAATCTTCTCCTGACAGAATCTTCAAACCTCCAATCAAAATCTTCACCATCATTTCTCTTCGTTGAAGCAGCCTCAAATCAGCTGAGATTTGTTCCTGCACAGTTTGAACTACTGAAATTTTACAATTCGGAAAAAAGAAAACTAAAATTTTATCCAAGTTCATAGACTAAATTCAAAACCATTGATGTCGTGCAATTGTATAAAAAAACAAAATGAGATTCATAGGCAAAGTATTGCTGGCCAAACACACCATCTCCACTTCAGACATAAAGCCTACCAATGCTAGTTTAGAAGATGATATTCAATCAAAAAGACCAAAACGTGGATGCTCCGAGTCACGATAAAACTATAGTGGTGGAAGATGCCACACGTCCCGATTAAGAAGAATCCTCAATTCTTTATAGCTATTAAGTGCTGACAAACAAGTTTCTTATGATCTTCCTCAAACAATAGGGTAAGCCCTCAACATGTTCAATTGTCTGTAATCTTTTTTTATCATTTATTTTTTTATACGTATATTTCTATTTTCTATTTTTTAATAATTATACTTTTATTATACTTTTTTTAAGTTTTTATGACACATTTTTCTGTATTCACCACACCATAACAGGTTTTAAATAGTATTTTTCAGTCATATAGCGATTTTTTAAGCGCCACTAAAAACCTTTAGGTATTATCTCAAAATCTTAATACATATTATTTATTACTAATAGATTATAACTTTTAAATTACATTAAAAAAACTTTAAAGATAATCACTAAATCACACTTTAAAGATATAATTTAAGTATATTTTAGTTAATATCTCAAAATCTTTTAAAAGTATATGTTTGTGCACATTCTATTAATGTATCTATCATTTATTGGAAATGTGAAATGAATTGATCACAATAAATTTTAATTTTATGGTAATCATGTTTTTTAGGTAAATAGAGTTGTTAATTTTATTAAAAGAAGAAAATAAGGTGATCATGTTCAAGCACATACTGTTGTTCATCATTCTTTCATCTTATTTCATAAGACGTGCAACAACCTAATATCGGAAAATATTTTAAATTATAATAAAATTTAAATATATAATTAGAGTATTTTTATAATCATTAATACAATAAACTAATCACTAGAGATCATTAAATGATTATACAAGGAAAAAGTTATTACTCATTTAAGAAACTTAAACAAAATACAGATACAATCAAATCTAGTTGCATCGACAAATGATCCACAACAGGATATTAAACTACTGAAAGACCAGCGATAAACATAAATCGAAATTGAACTTCGTGAGAGAATTATCTACAAATACAAACCGTGTATCCAAGTCTAAATCTGATTACCCTAAGTAGGAATGATCAACGAGATAATAAATAAATATCATCTTGATCAGTCGAGTCGAGATAATATACAACTTCATATGGGACTCTATCCAATCGGCCCTGAAGATTTCGCTCATAAAGTGGGAATCAATTTATCAACCGCTTGATAGAGGTGACCTTGATCTTTGCCACATATATATGGATACAACAAATCTTTCCTCATGAAGATTGGTGTTGCTCTAATCAATAACACTATCTCCTTCTGGATTCAGCTGCTTCGGAGAAAATATAAAATTATTTATTAGCTACCCAGTTCTATTCAACGTTCCAATATCTCTACTTTGTGGAAGTATCTTTCAAAGTTTTGAGAGGAATTTCGTGCTCATATGGATTGGTTTATTGGAGATGGTTCTACTATTAATCCTTGGTAGGATATCTGGATTCCTCATCTGGGTCGCTTACGAGATCGTGTAATTGATCCCTCTACACAGTAGCTCTACCCCCGTTTTGAAGAACTCATGACTAATACAAGTTCTTATAATTATATTGTTATCTTCTTTATCTCCTGTAGATGTTTTGTCTCATTTTGCTAGCATTCATTGTCCTATCATCGGTGATACTAAAAATTCTTGTAATTGGCGTTGGCACGATAATTTCTCAATCGGTAACTCCTACAACGCCTATGGAAAAACTCATGGAAAACAATTGGGAGCCCTATTCCACGATTTAGAAAACAATTTGGCATTCTCCCGTCCCTCAAAGAGTTTGTTTGTTCATATGGTTGGCCTTCAAGGAGAAGCTCCTAACAAATGTTGAGCATTTTTGGAGAACCTTATCCAGTTCGGCCATATGCACAATTTATCGGACCTCTAATGAAACAATTCTACATATTCTAAGAGACTGCAGCTTTGCTCGTGATGTT